TGATGATGTATACATGGACTAAAAGCAGAGAGGGTGGTTTTAACTCAGGATTCCTCTCAGAGGAATAAGTCTTTTGCTTTTTTCTATTAATATATATTTTAATTTTTGATAGTATTACAGATATCTCCCATTTACCCCCCTTCTTCTAACCACCCCACTCCAGGACTTCACTGCCCTATTCACTGTGTCCAAGGGCTATATGCACATAATTATATAAGTTCTTTGGTTTATCTCATATCCTCTTCCCAATCTCCACACTGAGGTATGTCCTTCTGTTCCATGCCTCCATGCTTCAGGTCTTATTTTGTTGGTCTATTCATTTTGTTCGTCAGATTCCATAAATAAGTGAGATCATATGATATTTGTCTTTCTCAGTTTGGCTGATTTCACTTAGCATATTATTTTCCAGGTCCATCCATGCCGTCCTAAGGGTAAGAGATGCCTCTTTTTTTATAGCTGCATAGTATTCTGAAGTATAAATGTCACACAGCTTTTTTATCCATTCATCTGCTGAGGGGAACTTGGACTGTTTCCAAGTTTTGGAAATTGCAAATAATGCTGTTATGAACATAGGGGTGCATATATTTTTTTCTGATTGGTGCTTGGGGTTTTTAGGAAATATTCACAGAAGTGGTGTCACTGAGTCAAATGTAAGTTCCATTTAAAATTTTTTAAGGAAACTCCATATTGTTTTCTATAGAGGCTGTACCTATCTGAATTCCCTCTAGTAGTGAATTAGTATTCCCTTTTCTCCGTATCCTCTCCAACACTTGTTGTTTTTTTGTTGATTTTTTTATGATAGCCATTCTGATAGGTGTGAGTTGACATCTCATTCTGGTTTTAATTTTCATTTCTCTTATAATTAGTGACTTTGAGCATTTTTTTCATATGACTCTTGGCCATCTGTATATACACTTTAGAGAAAAGTCTATTCAGGTCTTCTGCCCATTTCTAAATTGGATTGTTTGTCTTCCTTTTGTTGACTTGTATGAGTATTTTATAAATTTTGGATATTAACCTCTTATCAGAAGTATCATTGGCAAGTATGTTCTCCCATACAGTTCCCTTTTCATTTTGATGGTGGTTTCTTTTGCTGTTCAGAAGCTTTTTATTTTGATGTAGTCCCATTTTTTTTTATTTTCTCCTTAATTTCTTTTGCCCTAGGAGATGTATCTGTAAACATATTGGTATGAGAGATGTCTGAGATTTTACTGCCTACGTTCTCCTCTAAGATTTTTATGGTTTTATGCTTTACATTTAAGTCTTTTATCCACCTTGAGTTTATTCTTGTCTATTGTGTAAGTTGGTGGACTGGTTTCATGTTTGTGCATGTGTCTGTCAGATTTTTCCCAGCAACATTTGTTGAAAAGACTGTCCTTACTCCATTGTATGTTCTTTTCTCCTTTGTCAAATATTAATGGATCATAATGATGTGGGTCAATTTCTGGGGTCTCTGTTCTGATCCATTAGTTTATATGCTTGCTCTTGTACCAGTACCAGGCTGTTCTGGTTTTATGGCTTTGTAGTACAGTTTGATATCTGGTATTGTGATCACTCCTACTCTGTTCTTTTTTCTCAAGTTTGCTGCAGCTATTTTTTTAAGGTTCCATATAAATTTTCGGAGTATTTATTCTAGCTCTGTGATGTATGCCATTGGCATTTTAATAGAGATTGTGTTGACTCTGTAGATTGCTTTAGGTAGTTTAGACATTTTAATGATGTTAAGTCATCAAATCCATGAACGTGATATATGCTTCAATTTGTTTGTATCTTCCTATATTTCTTTTTTCAATGTCCTATAGTTTTCCAAGTACATGTCTTTGACATCCTTGGTTAAGTTTATTCCTAGGTATCCTTTTTGTTGTTGTTGCAATGGTAAATGGTATTGTTTGTTTAGTTTCTCTTCCTGAGAGTTTATTATTGGTGTATAATAATGCTATAAATTTGTGGATGTTGATTTAGTATCCTGCTACCTTGCCAAATTCATTTATTAAGTCTAATTGTTTCCTGGTGAAGTCTTTAGGGTTTCTTATATACAGTATCATGTCATCTGTGAACAATGACAGTTTTACTTCCTCCTTCCCAATTTGGATAGCTTTTATCACTTAATTCCTGATTACTGTGGCTATGAGTGCTGGAACTATGTTGAATAAGAGTGGTGGAAGCAGACACCCTTTTCCTGTTCCTGTTCTTAAAAGAAACAATTTTAGTTTTTGCCCATTGAATATTATATTGGCTGTAGCTTTATAATATATGGCCTTTATTATGTTGAGATATGATCCTTCCATTCCCACTTTGCTGAGGTTTTTATCAAAAAAGGGTCCTGGATTTTGTCAAACGCTTTTTCTGCATCTATTGATATGATCATTTTAGTTTCATCTTTCAATTTTTTATGTGATGTATCACATGTATTTATTTGAAAATATTGTACCAGTTTTGCATCCCCAGAATAAATCCCACTTGAGCATGGTGTATGATCTTTTTAATATATTGTTGGACCTGATTTGCTAATATTTTGTTGAGGATTTTTGCCTCTGTGTACATCGGGGATATTGGCCTGTAATATTCTTTATTTGTATTGTATTTATCTGGTTTTGGAATTAGGATAATACTGACTTCATAAAAGAGCTTTCTCTTGAATATGTGGAATAGTTTGAGGAGGATAGGTGTTAATTCTTTGAATGTTTGGTAAAATTCTTCTATAAATCCACCCAGTCCAGAACTTTTATTTTCTGGAAATTTTTGAATTACTTCTTAAATTTCATCAGTTATAATTGGCCTACTCAGGTTTTCTGATTCTCCCTTGTTTTGGAAGATTGTATGTTTTTAGGAGTTTGTCCATTTCACTCAGGTTGTCCAGTTTGTTGTGATATAATTGTTCATCGTATTTGCTTACAATCCTTTGTATTTCTGTGGTGTCCTTGGTATATCGCCTCTTTCATTTCTTATTTTATTTATCTGGGTCCTCTTTCTATGTTTCCTGATGACTCTGGCTAGGGGTTAATCAATGTTGTTTATCTTTTGAAAGAACCAGTTCTTGGATTTATTTAACTTTTGTACTTTTTTTTTTTTTGGTCTCTATGTCATTTATTTCCTCTCTGATCTTTATTATTTCCTTCCTTCTAATTCCTCTGGGCTTTTCTTCTTGTTCTCTTTCTAATTAAATTAGTTTAAGGTGTAGATAGTTTATTAGTGCTTTTTCTTGTTTCTTGAGGTAGGCCTGTAGTGCTATAAACTTCCCTCTCAGGATTGCTTTTACCATGTTCCATTTGTTTTGGGTGGTTGTGTATTCACTTTCATTTGTTTACAGAAAGTATTTAATTATTTGCTTTATCGCATTGGTAACCCATTCATTGATTAATAACATGCTATTTAGCCTCCATGTATTTTAGAGTTTTTTTTTAATTGTAGTTGGTTTCTAACTTCATGTCATTTGATCTGAGAAGATGCTTGGTATTACAGAACTCTTCTTGAATTTATGTAGACTTGTTTTGTGCCCTAACATGTTGTCTACCTTTGATAATGTTCCATGTGCATTTGAGAAGAATAAATATTTTGTTGCTTTGGGGAAAATGTGCCATAGTATCTGTTATATCCCTCTGATCTAGGGTGTCATTTATAGCCTTTGTTTCCTTGTTAAATTTTTGTCTGTAATACCTATCCAGTGATGTCTGGGGGTGTTAAAGTCTCCTACAATGGCTGTATTGCTGTAATTCTCTCCCTTAAAGTCCATCAAGAGTTTTTATGTATTTAGGTGCTCCTATATTGAGGCATCAGTCTTATTCAAGGACTGTGCTGAAAGGGTCTTCCTTCTGGGAGAAACAGACTCTCAAATGTGGTTGTTGGTTGTCTTCCATGGTTCGGGCCTATGCTCAAGAAATCCTGAAGACTTCAATTTTATAGACACATTAAAAAGATAAGCAGAGAATTACTGAATAGAAATAAGGAAAGAGCTATATAGGTGATTTGGTGTTTAACCTAAGACACAGTGATCTTTAAAACATCATTCACATCGTAGGCTATGCTGTTCTGTTATCAACTTTCCAGGGTCCTATTAAGTAGACATACCTACAGAAGTGAAACTAAGAAAGTATAACTCTAATGATGTTACTCTGTATGAATTATTATTATTATTTATGTATCAAGAGACATTAGAGTCACTCCAGAGAACTGTCAATACTATACCTCTTCAACATATTACTTTAAAATAGAAAAACCTCATTAGATTTCTATGGTAAGGTGGTAACTTTAAAAATAAACATTTTGTTCTTCTGTCATTCAGAAACCCTAATGAGATGGCTGCATATGTGAAATCTAAAAGAACACTTTGCCTTACGTCCCTGTGCCCTTTTCTCTCCTACAGGGATGGGACGGCTTGAATAATCCACCTACTTGTCTTCTTCCTCTTTTTTGAGTATATATATTTTTATTGATTTCAGAGAGGAAGGGAAAGGGAGGTAGAAACACCAATGATGAGAGAGAATCATTGATTGGCTGCCTCCTGCCCATCCCCCACTGGGGATCAAGATAGCAACCTGGGCAAGTGCCCTAAATGGGAATCCAACTATGACCTCCTGATTTATTGGTCGATGTTCAACCAGTGAGCCATGCCAGTTGGGCTACTTAGCTTCTTAATGGGAAGAAGAAAAGCTCCATTTTGAATATTAATAGGGAGAGGGTAGTTTCCACTGTGATGTCCTAAAGTCAGATTTTGTGTTTCTTCCTACATTAGCTTATGAGGAACAGCTACCAGCAGCAGCTCAGAGTTCTCACTTGAACCACTTTGCCCCTTCATCCCTGAGCACTTAGCTTCCAAAGGTCAGAGTGAGTAGCTTAAGGGAAGTGCCTGGCTTTTTCCAAGTACTTATGGAGAGAGGTCAGGCACAAGGGTTCTATAGACCTACTGTGAGTGCAGAGTTTGCTCACAGACAGGACACTAGTGGGCAATAGAAAAGAACACTGTTGGGCAGAGGCATTGCAGTAGGAAAGGTTGGAAGTGAATCCTAATGCTATGGTTTTGTTTCCTGATGTCCCAGGGCTTGAAAATCAAGATTCACAACTGAGACTTGTCTTAGTGGGTAAGACTGGAGCAGGAAAAAGTGCCACAGGAAACAGCATCCTTGGAAAGAAAGCATTTATTTCCAGCATTGCAGCAAAATCCATTACCAAGGCCTGTCAGAAAGAGAGAAGCGTGTGGAATGGGAGAGAAATAGTCGTCGTGGACACACCTGGCATTTTCGACACGGAAGTACCAGATGCTGACACACAAAGGGAGATTGCTAATTGTATCCTCCAGACCTCCCCCGGGCCTCACGCTGTGCTCCTAGTGGTCCCGCTGAGCCGGTACACAAAGGAAGAACAGAAGGCTGTGGAGAAGATGCTATCAATGTTTGGACCCAAAGCGAGGAGATACATGATTCTCTTATTTACCAGGAAAGATGACTTGGATGGCATGGAGCTCCGTGATTACTTAAAGGAAGCACCAGAAGGCATTCAAGATCTGATGAAGCAGTTCAAGGATCGCCACTGTGAATTCAACAATAAGGCGACAGGGGCTGAGCAGGAGGATCAAAGGACACAACTGCTGGACCTGGTCCAGCGCATAGTGAAGCAGAACAAGGGAGGATTCTACACTAATAAGATTTACCAAAGAGCAGAGGTGGAGATTCAGAAACAGATTCAAGCTATACAGGAAAACTACAGAGCTCGGTTGAGGAGAGAGAAAAGGCAGTTAAAAGAGGAGTATGAAAAGAAAATCAGAAAGCTAGAGGATACATTAGAGCAGGAAATGAAAAAGGCAGAAATGGAGAGGGAATTTGAAGAAAGGGAGAAATACTATTCCTTCATGCAGAAAAATGCTAGAGGTGAAGTTGAGAGTCAGGAAGGGATGCTTGATTTAATCTTGAAAGGATTAAGAGTAATCTGGAGAGAAATCTCATCTCTGTTCAAGGAAGATTAGGCTAATGAAAATCTGTCTAAATTTCCTGTGTGTTTTCAGGTGTGTCTGCCGCATATAACTAATTCCCTAAAGTCAGAACTCTGTTTCTGTCTCTCAGGCTCTCAGACTGGGGCATGTAGTAAACTTCAGTCATAGAAATTGGGAGACTTGGTTGAGGTAAGAAGGAAGGAAAACATTCTCAATGTGTAAAACTCCAAAGCAGAAAATATGATGCTCCCTATCTTCTGAACTCTCAGAGACAGAGAGAAAATGAATGCAGGAGATCAAAAGACCATGACCCCAAGCTTTCTCTATCATTAGTAAAGTTTCCTCCTCTACATTGGCACATAATCTCCACCCGTGGCTCCTACTCCTTATTTTTATCTTTAGGATCACAATGCTCATTTTACAGATGTGGTTAGAGAAATCAATTCTTTGCCTTAGATAATCTATAGCTAGAGATGTTTATAAAATTCTTTCTATATATACATAAATTTGTTGAATTTAATTTTTATGGAAGGACTGAAATTGTTCCTTATTATCTGCCCACTAGAGAACAAAGATTTGTCTGGAAAATGTTTTTCAGAACTCAACTAAGTGAAATGCCAGAAAGAGCAAAAGACAAGAGATTCAACAGCTAAGAGAACAATGTTCAGTATATTCAGATGTTTATGTAGAAAGTTGTTGAGCAAACTCAATGTAGCCACTTTGCTGAATAATGAGTTCTCTTCTTCTTTTCTTGTGAAACTAACTGTTGCCACCACACCTCTATCACACCACACCTTGATTACTTACTGCTAGGTGCATCATCCCCACACTGCTGCCTCCACTCATTTGAATTGTTTGCTCATTGTTACCATAATAAAACATTTCTATTCTCTCTTATTTGTGCAAAACTGAAATTTCTTTTACTTTATAAAATATCACCAATACTTCTAAGAGTTTTTATCTTTAGGATCACAATGCTCATTTTACAGATGTGGTTAGAGAAATCAATTCTTTGCCTTAGATAATCTATAGCTAGAGATGTTTATAAAATTCTTTCTATATATACATAAATTTGTTGAATTTAATTTTTATGGAAGGACTGAAATTGTTCCTTATTATCTGCCCACTAGAGAACAAAGATTTGTCTGGAAAATGTTTTTCAGAACTCAACTAAGTGAAATGCCAGAAAGAGCAAAAGACAAGAGATTCAACAGCTAAGAACAATGTAGTTGTTGAGCAAACTCAATGTAGCCACTTTGCTGAATAATGAGTTCTCTTCTTCTTTTCTTGTGAAACTAACTGTTGCCACCACACCTCTATCACACCACACCTTGATTACTTACTGCTAGGTGCATCATCCCCACACTGCTGCCTCCACTCATTTGAATTGTTTGCTCATTGTTACCATAATAAAACATTTCTATTCTCTCTTATTTGTGCAAAACTGAAATTTCTTTTACTTTATAAAATATCACCAATACTTCTAAGAGTACAGGGATGAATTTCACTTTTTGATAAAAATTCAAGATCCTTTGGAGCTTTGTTTGTTCTACACCCTAATATGTATCTCCAGCATTCTCCATTTGAACCACATTCTTAATCTCTCTGCACATCAGAGACCACATTATCCTTGAATTCATTCATTATGAATTCTGATATCTTTGTGAGTTTTCTGGGGAAGGGGGATTTTTTAAATATATGAATAATAGTAATTGAAGTTTATCCCTTTTCTAATAGGTACTCCTACCCTAATAATTCATAGGCTTTCCCAAAGCACATTTCCATGTTCTACCAGTATGTCCTGGTGGTCACATGCCACTGTCCTTCCTCTGCCATCTTGAAAGTGGCTTTTCCATGTCCCACTTCATTTTGTCTTCAATATACCTACCCATTACTTCCCCCAAACACAAATGAATTTCGATTGTACCTTTAACAAAAGTTAGCAAAGTTTCAAGGATATGTGACTGGATCTTTCAGAAATAGTCATTCACAGTGAGACACATTTGGTTTCACTTTGCAGAATATGGGGTGCAGTCCCATTGGAGTTTTACACAAAATTCTGAGATTGGGAGTTAACATCCTCTTGTCTCAGGAGCATCTAGAAGCACATATTGAACCAAAGAAAGAGCCGCACATACCTAGCATGAAAAAATTAAATACAGGCTTATTATGAAAAAAGTCTTTAAGTTCTCTGTGGTATTTTCTGTGTAAATGCATTCACTTATTCTTACCCTTGAATTCAGGTTTATGCTGTAGATGAGGCTAAGTAAAATGTTCTGCTCTTGATAAGCTGTGAGAAGATGAGTAGCCCATCTGAAAACCCTGAGAGCAGTGTTGCCCATTTGTGTCTATGGGCAGAAGGCAGACAGAAGGTCTTGATAAATACCATGCATTGTGGTTAGTATGATAGAAGAATGAGGCATGTTCCCTTCTCTGAAAAGTGTTGGGAGTTTATACTATTCATACATTCAGTAACAGTCAGTGATTATTTGAACTTAGTGGAAGATTTCACATGAGACATTGAGAATCTAAAGAAAGTAAAATAAAGTCCCTTTTGAGACTGGCTTCCTTCACTTAGCATAATGATTTTGAGAATCAATCAAGTTGCTTGTGAATAGATGTTCTCTTTTACTGACGAATAGTATTCCACCTTATGGATGTACCACAGTTCCTTCATCACTTCTTTATTTATTCTTATGCCCCTAATTGATTTATCTTGCCAAATTGCATTGGCTGAAATCTCCTTTATAACATTGAATTGTAGTGGAAGGGCATGCTTACTTTTTTCCATGATATGCCTTTAGTATTTCCCAGTTCAGTGAGTGAGATACTGGAAAACAGGAGTATATGGTGTGTGTGTGTGTGTGTGTGTGTGTGTGTGTGTGTGTGTGTGTGTTGTGTGTAATCATTAAGTAAATATCTCCTGATCACTATTTTCTTGAGGGTTTTTATCACTAACAGCAATTAATTTTGTCAAAGGCTTTTAAAATTCATCTAGGTGGTACTTGGGTAGTGGCCTGTGTAGCCAAACTCTGTAGAAGCTCTCTGTGATGCAGAAGCTGGGCACTGAGGAAACCATACACACTGAATGAGTCCATAGGTAAAATATCCAATGAGGAGGACAGGAGAGAAGGTTATATCCTCATGTGATAACCAGTATTTTAGGAACTGATAAACTGAAGTAGAGAAAAAATGGTGGCTGAAGAGGCAGCAGTGTCGTGCATCTCTTCTTGGGCCAGAAAAGCAACTAAATTGAAGAACATCCACCCTGAATTAACAAATTAATCACAGTTGAAGAGACAAATTTTCATAAAAAACACAGAGGACTCCTAGATAATATCACTTTCCAGTCATAACACATGTGGAACCACCACCATGTTCCTGCAGTGAGTGGCACAATACCTCCTGGCAGGCTCTCAGACATCTGCAGGGAGCATGCTGCCAAAGTGAGCTACTGAGCTAGGCCTTCTCACCAGCCTGCTGGGACCCAGCATCCTAGGATCTGGTTCCAAGACAACACAGTAGTGCAAGCCTGGGAGAACCATGTGCCTCACCCACTCCACAGACCCCATAACTGTGCTGCTAGACTGATCCAAAACCATCCAGAACCCACACTATGCCCAGCACTGGGACCTGTTGTCGGGGTGACTAGGAGCAACCCAGAGCATGCCACAGAGGAGATCTGACTGTGGAACCCTCTCCTTCTGAGCCCCCCAGGACAGCCCTTCCAGGTCCATCTGGATCAAGCCAATGCTCCCCTAATGCTGGGTGAAAGGGGAGCAGGGACTGAGTGACCAATGGCAACCAGGCTCCACTTCATACTGATAAGTGGCGAACTGGAGCAACCCAGCACATATCTCACTCGAGCTACAAGAAAAGAGGACAGTGTGACCCAGTGTAGCCCCAACCCTCTTCTCCCCAGCCCCTGGGACAGTCCTGCAGGGGCTACCTGGAACAGCCCAGCACAAATCTCACTCCAAGCCATAGGAAAGCACTGCTGAGGCAACCTGGTGTGCCCATCCAGGGCCACAGGACTTTGCTGCAAGTGCACTGCCAGAGGTACCTAGGGTGCCACCCTGATGCAGGTGCTGGTGCTACACAGTGAATTTCATGCCAGAGGGCTCTGGGTCCTCAAAGGTCATCACACATTAGAGGAACTATGAGCATGGTCCCATCATACTGAGCATCTAAAGCAGAAAACTGAGGCACAAGATCATTGGGACAAGGGGATACAACTCAGAGCAGAGACAATAAAGGTGTGAGACTCAAGGCAGACCCAGGCTTTGGAATAATGATTTCTAGACTATTGCCCTGATAGGGTATTCAACCTCTCAAACCCAAGTAGGGTGCACAGGGCCAGAGAGGGACATAAAAAATGAGAGACAAAGAGAGAACCCACCAAGGAAAGAAAAGGAGATATCACCATAAAAGAAACTAAGTGAAATGGAAGCATGCAATATGTCAGGAAATTAATTCTGAGTAAGGGTCATACAGTTCATAAACCAGATGGAAGAAAAATCAAATACTTTTGTAAGAATGAAGAGGAAATAAGAAAAGCTATAGCTACAATAAAAAACATGATGGAAGGTTTCAACAGTAGATCAGAGAAAGCAGAGGACAAATTAGTGAGTTAGAAGATAGGGTAGTTAAACACACCCTATCTGAACAGTAACTGGAGAAAAAAAATAGAAAGCCGGAGGAGAGCCTAGGAGAGCTTTGGGACAACACCAAATGAAGTAACATACATATAATAGGAGTGCCCGAAGAACAAGAAGAGGAGCAAGGATCAGAAAACCTAATTGAAAAAATAATGATAGAAAACTTCCCTGATTTGGGAAGGAAAAAGTCACACAAGCATAGAGAGTCCCAAACAAGACAAATGCAAAAAGACCCACACCAAGACAAGTCATTATTACAATGGCAAACGTTAATGAAAAAGAGAGAATCTTAAAGGCTACAAGAGAGAGACAGAGAATTACCTACAAAGTGTCTCCCCTTAGATTATCAAATGATTTCTCAACAGAAACACATCAGGTCAGAAGGGAATGGAATGAAGTATACAAAGTAATGCAAAGTAAGGGACTGAATCCAAGAATACTCTATCCAGCAAGGCTATCATTCAATATTGAAGGGGAAATTAGGAGCTTTGCAGACAAAAATAATGCAAAGGGAGTTTGTCACTACCAAGTCAGCAATGCAAGAAATGCTAAAGGGACTGTTTTAAAAAGAAGAAGTAGAAAGGAAAGAAGGAACACAGGCATACAAATAGAAATAGCTACAAACTAGTACATGTAAATAATAACTTTAAACATAAATGGACTAAATGCTCCAATCAAAAGATATGGAGTGGCTGAATGGATAAGAAAACATGATCCATATACATGCTGTATACATGAACCCTATCTGAGAACAAGGGACTCACACAACTAAAAGTGAAGGTATGGTAAAATATTTTCAGACAAATGGAAATGAAAGAAAACTTCAGTCCACAGTGTGATGCTCCATCCACTGAGCCAAACCAGCTAGCCAGGCTCACCAAGAAGCATAGGGAGAGGACTCAAATAAACAAAATCACAAATGAAAGACGTGAATAACACCAGAACCTACAGAAATACAAAGGATTTTTAAAAAATACTATGAACAACTCTATTCTGACAAACTGCTCAACCTAGAAGAAATTGACATATTCCTAAAAAAATATGACCTCCCAAAACTTAATCAGGAACAATAAAAAATTTTGAATAGGCCAATAACTATGGAGAAAATTGAAGCAGTAATCAAAACACTTCCAGCAAAGAAAAGCCCTGGGCCAGATGGCTTCACAGGGAACTTTGACCAAACATTCAAAGAAGAACTAAAACCTATCCACATCAGACTATTCCAAAATATTCAAGAGGAGGGAATACCTACAAGCTCTCTCTCTC